AACAAAGTAATATTATGTGCCTACCCAGTGTCTCTGAGCATGTGGCGTAGAGTTTTTTTGTGGTACCACTCGTTTGCAACCCCAACAGATCAATGGGCAGCTGGCCTCGATATCTGTGCAGATTCTCCTCTTCATTGTCCTCATCAACATTGTCGTAGATTTTTCCTGCTCGCCGGCTTCCAGGAGTTCGTTGTAGTGATGCTCCTTGGTGGTCTTTGCCGGAAGAGCTTCCAGAGGCGGTGTAGTGCACTGCCTCGGATGAGTCGGTGGAGATGGAGGAAGATGAAAATGCCGTTGCCGAGAAGGGGTATGGTAAATAGGCCAAGAAGGTGGGTGTGATTTGCTTAAGGGGGCTGGTCAGATGCACGGAAAGCGCAGAGGTTCGTCTGGGATAAGGCTGACTGCTGGCTCGAGAGCAGATGCAACCGTCTGTCGTGCCATCTTCGTTCAGGTCATAACAGTCGCCGCCGGTCTTCGTGCACGGCTCGCAGGAGGGATGATTCATGTGCACCTGAGGGACTGATGGTTCCACGGGCAAAACAATGAAAAATATAACATAAAAAACTTACCAAGGAAAATATGTGTATATATTAGCTTTAATGGTTACATTTTGTATAGCATCATATCTGGCTGACCCCATATTTCTAGACTAACTGGAACCTGCAAAGGAGAAGAATGGATGGCGGGAGAAAGAGGATGTACCAGCGTGTTCTGCTCTTGGAAATAACCATTTTACCTGACACACTACTTGGCGCTTTGAAGCATACAAGTTGGTATATTCACTGGAAAATTGAGGAAAGACTTGTTGAAAAAGTAAAAAGAACTGAAATCATAATTGAAGAAATGAGGAGGAAGATGGTGTGGCCTTCGATACGGTCGTAGTCTCAGTTCGATTTATAGAAGTGGGTTGACCTTGTTTTCGCAAGCTTGGTGCGAAAAATGCCGATTGCGATGCCGGTGGAATGTATGAGAATGTACCAAGTCCACGGTTTGATGCTGGAAATTAGAATAACTACTATAGCAGAGGACTTCGGACAAGGTGCGTTCAACTAAGTCGCCCTGACAACAAGACCATGTTGCGAAAACGAGATCAACACACTTCTAAAAACATAAATGTTTGGTTCAACAAACACATGCCTAATCTACATGTCAAAAATGTTGCTCTCCGACCCAAATCTTATCAAAATTCCCAGTTTAACACGTGCTAGCGCAAGAAGTATTAAAAATATGGTTGAATTCATTCACAAGTCAGATCGTCCTATTAATTCATTAAGGGTGGTCCAAACGTGACGCTATTCATGATATTTTTGACCACATACTATTATGGCTATCGTCGAGTGGGCAAACAAGTCACTATGTGACTGGTAAATTTAATGTGAATTATAATTGTTTCTCGATTAATCTTACCATTTTAGATTGTTGAGATGTCCTCCATTTCGTGTGATGACGTATGATAAACTAATTCGAAGGTAGAAGTCGGCAGATTTCATCTATCTTGCTACAGTTTGGCTATACTGAACATTTTGGATGACTCAGAATTTGGTACAACCCTCTTTTAATCATTTATAATAAAGGCATCTCTGTCACTGGACAGAGATTATCGAGACGGTACCATTAATAAAATTAATTCAAGTTAATGATTCAATAAAATTCACAGACTTATCCTTCTATGCTTATCTAAATAATTTATACCATTAATTTATTGATTAAGCATAAATTGGTGGGTAAACTATGACTTTGCTCTGATGATCTCTGCCTTATGACAGCACCTTCCCACTATAACCGACCGAAATTATCCGGAGGATTGCATCAACCAGCACGTCTCAGTAAGGCTGAACAATATGTGACTTTTATTACGAAAGCCAAACACATACTTCCATTTCATATTGAAGTGCATTTCAAAAGATTGAGTTGCGAGTATATGTAGACTGGGCAAAAATCCTTTCCAAGATCTTCTATTTCTTAAGGGAATTATACTGAGTCGTATTTCACTAGTATCCTTCATTTCTCACAGCGAGTTTAAAGTCTAGGGCAAAATAGCTCTTTTTGATAGTCAAAAGCTTCTTTCAATTTATCCACCCTTCCATTTCCAATATCAAGCACACTTTCGGAAGTTAAGATAAGTACAGAAATTTGAGAAAATTCCATCACCCTGTTAACATAGAAGTCTCAAAGATTTTTTAATGTTCTGTTCGAAAAAATGTTGGCCCTGAAACTAAAATAGTCTGGAAATCAGTTTTTATGGGTTAGTCTTTTCCGCCAATAAATCTAACCGTGATTGGAAACAAGCTGGGGATATTCATAAGAGAATTTATCTGTGATTATAAAACCACATTTTTGTGATGCAAAAGTTATCTTCTTCTTATTCTACCGGCCTAGAACCTTGGGAAATGATTGGTTAATGGTCTCCCCTTATTAACAGACTCTTAAAAGTATTTCGTTCATTGGACACTCTCCTTGCTCTCTCTGCGTTTGACTAAATTGCCATGGCTTAACTCCTAATCACTATTTCCAACAATTTTCTAAGCCACCTAAAAGGAAAATGGATTCCAACGAAGGGGTTGTTGATCTCATATGCGTGACTAAGCGGTGAGCAGAACAATTGGCAGCACACGAACCTATGGCAGGGTATGAAATATATTCCCCCTATTTCGTTTAAGGTGATGAAGGATATAGGATGTTTAAACATGCTGACTTATGCTAGTTTTTATAGCCACGCGAATCCAATCAGTAAATTTTCGCAATGTCTGAAATTCCTTTCGATGCCGACCTGAGTCTTAACTGTATTCCTTCTCAACATATCTCAGACCTGCATGCCAGTTTTCACCAAGCATACTTTTCAAGGCTGTATCATTGAATTTCTCGATGAAAACATAGTATCGTTCCTCTAGCAACCAACGGTCATACAGTGACCCCCAAGTTTCAGACGTCTGCACTACACCACAAGTTTTATATGCCAAGCTTTTGGTAGTGAACATCCATCTGATACATTCTTATGAAAGGTTATGTCGAAACGACGGATGTTGTTAAAAGAGGCATAAATGGTTCAAGTATTGAACCTAATTTACTAGAAAATTTGTACACTCTTTGCAAAACTTCTCAATTGGACAGTTTAATGAAACTTCAAACTTTGCAAAATGCTCACTTTCTATACAGACTTTCGCTTGATCTTGTACTTTCATCGCCCATTCAGAATGGCTTACATTTTACTTTGATCGAACAACCTAGCTTTGCTATACGTGGATTTTGGCAGTTTGAAAAACTATTTCTTCTCAAATCAATGAGAAGAGGATACAATTTAGGCTTGAGAAAATTTCGATTTCCAAAAGCAAATGTTCTCGATTATTACTAGCCCAAAAATAACACTCATTTAAGA